TGTGGCGAACACAATGCCTAGATGAATTCATTCTGCTGGTACGAAATAGCTATGAATCAGTCTGATTTATACAAGGATTTGATTTTTCCCTATCATTTCCCACTTCCAATAGCATGGAAAGTCCCTAACCTATAATTTTGACTGTAACGGATCTCGTTAGGTAGGTCGTCCCCAAGGTCATTAATCTCATCATGGAGACTAAGATCTCTGCGATCTGGTTATTATGGAAGTGAAGTATAAAGCCTCTTGAAGAGCTAAGGAGGCTAAAAAGGTTAATTTAGGGTAGCATGTCATCTAATGCAGTGAAATAAAATACATTTGATATGTTTGTTGTGTGACTGTTTTCATCTGCGTGTGACGTGCACCGGCGTTGACACATTGTGTTCTGTAACAGAACATAGCATCAAAGAAGGAGTGTTTGATTTACTCCATCTGGTAAACATCAGTTTCGGGCTTTCCTTCCCTCACTTCTCTCACCCTTCATGTTTCATTTCACAACCTCTCTCTCTCTCTCTCTCTCTCTCTCTCTCTCTCTCTCTCTCTGTCTCTCTCTCTCTCTCCCTGTCTTTCTCTCTCTCTCCCTGTCTTTCTCTCTCTCTCACTGTCTTTCTCTCTCTCTCTCTCTTTCCCAATCCCTCCCTCCCCCTCTCTCTCTCTCTGTATGTCTCTCTCTCTCTCTGTCTTTTTCTCTCTCTCTGCCTGTCTCTCTTTCTCTTTGTCTCTTTCTGTTTGTCTCTTTCTCTCTCTGTCTCTGTATCTGTCACTCTCTCTTGCTCTGTCTCTTTGTTTTTCTCTTCTCTCTCTCTTTGTTTCTCCCTCTCTCTCTTGCTCTCTCTGTCTGTTTCTTTCTCTGTCTCTCTCCCTCTCTTCTTTATCTCTTTCTCTCACTCTTTCTGTGTCTTCTGAAGAGGGAGAGTGTGGTGAAAGCCCCTCAAAATTGGTCATCGTTGATGAAAAGTAGTTCAACAAATGAGTACCAAAGTGCCAATAGGACACAGGCTTGTGGACGTCCATGTGAAGGCCGGTCTTGATGACCCGATGGTGAATATTGCTAAAAGCATTATGAATCAACTCACTCACTCTGTATCGATCTCATCAAGAAGGTTATCTATGAGATTTTACTAACTATGATCTTATCAATATGGTTCTTCTGTGGTCCACCTCAGTATCATCAACTGAACATGATGTCCATCATCACACTTTCTTCCTTGTGTTATTATTCCTAATCTGATCAATCAATTACAAGTGCTGTCAAATCTCACCATACGCTCTGATGAACAGCCTGAGATTGAGTTGTATCAACAATCCAAGTCAGCACACCAGTGTGTTTTTCTGAGTGGAATGAGATAGTCATCCTAGTAGCATCTGCCGACTCATTCTGCCCACTGCAGCTTTGTCATGACAACCTGATTCTTTCATATTACAATAGTTAATCTCTCATGCCATGACAGATTAACATTACCAATATGAAAGAATTGGGCGATCCTTAACTTCTTTTGAGTAGTATATAATGAAACGAAAATTCAGATTATTTTTTTTATTATGTAGCAATATTTGTATTATGTTTGTAACCAGTACTAGAAGGCATATACTTTTTAACGTATTTTATGCTCTATTTTTTTATGTTTGCATTTGGCAAAATAAGAAAATGTTTAGTTGTGTGTTTCACTTTATATTGTTTCAGGGTCATCAGGGGGTGGTCGGGTAGCCTAGTGGTTAAGGCGTTTGCTCATCATGCCGAACACCCAGGTTTGATTCCAAACATGGGTACAATGTGTGAAGTCCATTTCTTGTGTCCCCGCCGTGATATTGCTGGAATATTGCTAAAAGCGGCATAAAACCATACTCACTCACTCAGGATCATCAGTAAACTATATTTTTTGTTTAAAATATTGTTTAATATGGTACAGTGAACCTTATTTAAAGTATCGCCTCAAATGATACAGTGAACCTTGTTAAGTATCACCTCAATATGATACAGTGAACCTTATTTAAAGGATCGTCTCAATATGATACAGTGAACCTTGTTAAGTATCGCCTCAATATGATACAGTGAACCTTTTTAAGTATCGTCTCAATATGATACAGTGAACCTTGTTAAGTATCGCCTCAATATGATACAGTGAACCTTGTTAAGTATCGCCTCAATATGATACAATGAACCTTGTTAAGTATTGTCTCTATATGATACAGTGAACCTTTTTAAGTATCGTCTTAATATGATACAGTGAACCTTGTTAAGTATCGCCTCAATATGATACAGTGAACCTTTTTAAGTATCGTCTCAATATGATACAGTGAACCTTGTTAAGTATCGTCTCAATATGATACAGTGAATCTTGTTAAGTATCATCCCAATATGATACAGTGAATCCTGTTAAGTATCGTCTAAATATGATATAGTGAATCTTGTTAAGTATTGTCTCAATATGATACAGTGAATCTTGTTAAGTATCGTCTCAATATGATACAGTGAATCCTGTTAAGTATCGTCTAAATATGATACAGTGAATCTTGTTAAGTATCGTCTCAATATGATACAGTAAATCTTGTTAAGTATCGTCTAAATATGATGCAGTGAACCTTGTTTAAAGTATCATCTCAATATGATACGGTGAATCTTGTTAAGTATCGCCTCAATATGATACAGTGAACCTTGTTTTAAGTATCGCCTAAATATGATACAGTGAACCTTGTTAAGTATCGCCTCACTATGATACAATGAATCTTGTTAAGTATCGCCTCACTATGATACAGTGAACCTTGTTAAGTATCGCCTTAACATACAGTCATCAAGTGAAGCCATGTCAAGTTGCACTCCATTACTGTCGCAAGGCCAAGATACTGATATCAGCATTACTGGCACGAAGATGGTCGAATATCAGCATTTCAATCGCTTCTCTCAAACTACAAATTGCTTGGTGTAATAAATTGTCAGGATGACTTACAGCTAACAAGGTTTCGCTGTACATAAGGTAATTTGAATGTTTGCACCCTCTGGTAAGAAAGTCTCTCTAGTGGAATGATGAAATTTATTTTCTCTGCCAGACAACAGATCTGAGATAGATTGAAGTATCACCAGACCTGTTGTTTTTCCAGTCCGACGGTTCTCATCTCAGCTAGGTTCTCAGACACACTTTGAAACTTAACCCTTGTGACAATAAACAGCTGGATGTAACCAAAGTCGTTCTAGAAGTACATCCTGTCTTTGGTACTCAAGAGATTGAATGTGATATTAATTAATTTTTAATTTTGCGTAAGGGTGTAGTTCAAAAGTTGAAGGTGGGATGAAATGTGTATTTCTCAAGTTTTCAGACACCGCTAACACTTTTAATTGTGAAAATGATGTTTTATAGGCATTTCTCAGAAGTTGACGGATGACAAAGTAGACACAATTTATGCCTAAATTCTTTATTATACTGTAATAAGCAATGTTTCTGTATAGATCCTAGGGCTGGGACGTGTAGCTCGGGGTCGGGTGGGTACTGAGTAGGACACGGGTACCCACAGACTACCCAGACCCGTGGTTAGTCACGTGATATATTGTTTAATGGCAACAAATATCTAAAACTCTATGGTTACACTACGAGTCACTAATGTTCGCATTTCTTTCTGACTATGCACCCATTCCTTCTGACCTTTATAGGTTTGAATAAAGCTAAAACTTCAGTCAACTTCAGTGTATGCCTGACTAGATCATTTTATATGTGTATCTAAATACATTTTACCAGGGCTACAGTCAAACAATTCCCAATCGGACATTTTACACTGAAGTCTTAAGATCTATAGCGGGTAGGGTCGGGTGATAGCATGGTGGGTACCCGGGTAGTAAATTTGGACTCGTCCCAGCCCTAATAGATCCATATACTATTGTCAAGCAAGTCTTGTTGTAAATGTCATAAATTGTTGACAATGTTAAGTGAATTCTATTTAGCAAGATTCATGTTGCTGGTGGTGCTCAGACCTTTATACCTCGGATGGAAATGAGAAGAATGATTAGAGCTGTTAATACTGAATAAATCTGTAAATCTCCTCAGTTGATTTTGTAGGATGTGACCTGCCAACCCAGGCTTAAAGGTTTAAGGTTTTTTGTCCAACATTGGACTATTGAACTGTCCCTAAATATGGAAGATCTTGGCCTTTAGTATAAGTACCCAGTGTTAGAGGATAGGATTGGTAGGACGAATTTTCATCCAACATTGGACTATTGAACTGTCCCTAAATATGGAAGATCTTGACCTTTAGTATAAGTACCAAGTGTTAGAGGATAGGATTGGTAGGAAGAATTTTCGTCCAACATTGGACTATTGAACTGTCCCTAAATATGGAAGATGTTGGCCTTTAGTTTAAGCACCCAGTGTTAGAGGATAGGTTTTGTAGGAAGTGTCCATCATCCACGTCATGTTGCTTGTAGTGAATGTGTATCACAGGAACATTTGTGTTTTAAGCTGTGTACCTTCAATTAGTGTTAGAGTTACAAATTGTGAAAGATGTTTTGGCACACGTTATAAACAGTGAAAGTGTTCAATCAGATGGTGAGTGTTCAATCAGATGGTGAGGTTACAAGTGAAATACATCACCACAGGCTTTCCTCCCACATAAAGCTAACACGATATAACTGGAATCCTGTTAAAAAGCGGAGTTAAACCACTCACTCACTCACTCACTCACTCTCACTCACTCACTCACTCACTCACTCACTCACTCACTCACTCACCCACCCACCCACCCACCCACCCACCCACCCACCCACCCACCCACCCACTCACTCACTCACTCACTCACTCACTCACTCACTCACTCACTCACTCACTCACTCACTCACTCACTCACTCACTCACTCACTCACCCACCCACCCACTCACCCACCCACTCACTCACTCACTCACTCCAGTGAAATTTTCAAATTAACAAGTTTAGGTACAACAGAATCCTGTTGGACTAGCTGTGTTCTTTGTAGTAATGTGTGCTTCAGTACTAAATGTGATGTTGTGTTACAGATTATGGTTCAACATCGGCTCCGTGTTGATGGGGATCAACATCTGCATTGCCATGTTCCTGGTTGTCTACCTGTCCTACATCAAGAAGATCAGCGCCGACGACTGGGAACGACACTACCCCGCACTCATCCCCATCGCCACGGCAGCGTTTATATTTGGTGGCATCTGGTAAGACGAAAGTTGTAGCACGTAGACAATATCCAAGTCCCATGTTTCTGACTTTTCTTATCTTCATATAGGAACGTGCCAGTGAAAGCAGAAATTGGATTAGTCAACAAGATGGCAATGCAAGAGAGACTGCCAAATATTGATATCTCTTGAAACTTACACCAGCCAGTCTTAGCGAACAACGATATTAGGTTACAGACTGTGCAGGTTGTGCTGTTGTGGTCAGCTTGTTGACTGTGATTGAAATGAAGAATCTGTTTGACAGCAACAGTTCACAACAGATATATCTTTCTTGGTGTTCTGCTGCTGTTTCGTGTTGCTGGTTTTTGTCTTCTGACACATTTTGATTCTGAAACCCGTTGAGACATCTGAGGGGTGTCTTATTTCAAATGTTTCATTAGGGGGAGAATGTGCAGAAGATCTTTTGATTCGTGAGCGTGTGCCATAGTTCCATTTATGGGTAAACGTGTTCTGCAGATCAATTCAAAATTGGCCATCATTGATAAATCTTTCTTCCTTGTAGCCCGTCGGAATTATTTTGGCACCCTCAAAAACTCATACCCTTAATATATATTTGTTTATCACATAGTTTATGAATGATTTCGTGTAGGTTAATAAAACTTGGTCATCCTTTTAAGGGGTGGCATGGATGAAAATAAAAACTCCTAACAGTATAATACAAAGCCCAGTGTCACGCACTGTAGGACAAGACACTTATGCAGGGATCTCTTTAGGCTGAATATTTGAAGCATTGTCAGAATACAGGAAGTTCTTGTAGCCTTTTGTTTGTGTTCATGTACGTGTCTAAGACTTCCATCACTTTGGGCTAAGCTCCCACATGGATCTCACCTGCCGTGTTATGACCGTCAAAAGTGGCGTTAAACCCAACTCACTCACTCATTCATTTGTATGGGGCTGCAAATGATTCATCGGAAGCCTCTGCAAAAATTCATTGAAGGTTTGATGTTCGAGTTAATACTTTATGTCCTATTTTTAAAACAAGTGCATGTAATTATATGGATGTATGCTCCAGATGACAACTGATGACAAACTTGTCGGGACGCTATGTCGCATGTGCCATGTTTCATTGTTTTCGCCAATGACTGTGGAGGATGCACTCCATCCCTCACGTTCCACCTGCCTCAGTATGTTGGATGCACTCCATCCGTCACGTTCCACCTAACTCAGTATGTTGGATGCACTCCATCCCTCACGTTCCACCTGCCTCAGTATGTTGGATGCACTCCATCCCTCACGTTCCACCTGCCTCAGTATGGTGGATGCACTCCATCCCTCACGTTCCACCTGCCTCAGTATGGGGGATGCACTCCATCCCTCACATTCCACCTGCCTCAGTATGGAGAATGCACGCCATCCCTCACCTTCCACCTGCCTCAGTATGGTGGATGCACTCCATCCCTCATGTTCCACCTGCCTTAGTATGGTGGATGAACTCCATCCCTCACATTCCCCCTTTAGTATGGTGGATGCACTCCATCCCTCACAGTCCACCTGCCTCAGTATGATGGATGCACTCTATCCATCACATTCCACCTGCCTGAGTATGGAGGATGCACTCTATCCCTCATGTTCCACCTGCCTGAGTATGGAGGATGCACGCCATCCCTCACCTTCCACCTGCCTCAGTATGGTGGATGCACTCTATCCATCACATTCCACCTGCCTCAGTATGTTGGATGCACTCCATCCCTCACGTTCCACCTGCCTCAGTATGGTGGATGCACTCCATCCCTCACGTTCCACCTGCCTCAGTGTGATGGATGCACTCCATCCCTCACGTTCAACCTGCCTCAGTATGGTGGATGCACTCTATCCCTCATGTTCCACCTGCCTCAGTATGGTGGATGCATTCCATCCCCCACGTTCCACCTGCCTCAGTATGTTGGATGCACTCCATCCCTCACGTTCCACCTGCCTCAGTATGGTGGATGCACTCCATCCCTCACATTCCACCTGCCTCAGTATGGTGGATGCACTCTATCCCTCATGTTCCACCTGCCTCAGTATGGTGGATGCATTCCATCCCCCACGTTCCACCTGCCTCAGTATGTTGGATGCACTCCATCCCTCACGTTCCACCTGCCTCAGTATGGAGGATGCACTCCATCCCCCACGTTCCACCTGCCTCAGTATGTTGGATGCACTCCATCCCTCACGTTCCACCTGCCTCAGTATGTTGGATGCACTCCATCCCTCACATTCCACCTGCCTCAGTATGGTGGATGCACTCCATCCCTCACATTCCACCTGCCTGAGTATGGAGGATGCACTCTATCCCTCACATTCCACCTGCCTCAGTATGATGGATGCACTCCATCCCTCACATTCCACCTGCCTCAGTGTGATGGATGCACTCCATCCCTCACATTCCAACTGCCTCAGTATGGAGGATGCACTCCATCCCTCACGTTCCACCTGCCTCAGTATGGTGGATGCACTCTATCCATCACATTCCACCTGCCTGAGTATGGAGGATGGACGCCATCCCTCACCTTCCACCTGCCTCAGTATTGTGGATGCACTCCATCCCTCACGTTCCACCTGCCTCAGTATGGTGGATGCACTCCATCCCTCACATTCCACCTGCCTCAGTATGGAGGATGCACTCCATCCCCCACGTTCCACCTGCCTCAGTATGGTGGATGCACTCCATCCCTCACGTTCCACCTGCCTCAGTATGGTGGATGCACTCCATCCCTCACGTTCCACCTGCCTCAGTATGGTGGATGCACTCCATCCCTCACATTCCACCTGCCTGAGTATGGTGGATGCACTCCATCCCTCATGTTCCACCTGCCTCAGTATGGTGGATGCACTCTATCCATCACATTCCACCTGCCTGAGTATGGAGGATGGACGCCATCCCTCACGTTCCACCTGCCTCAGTATGGAGGATGCACACCATCCCTCACATTCCACCTGCCTGAGTATGGAGGATGCACACCATCCCTCACATTCCACCTGCCTGAGTATGGAGGATGCACTCTATCCCTCACATTCCACCTGCCTCAGTATGATGGATGCACTCCATCCCTCACATTCCACCTGCCTCAGTGTGATGGATGCACTCCATCCCTCACATTCCACCTGCCTCAGTATGGTGGATGCACTCCATCCCTCACGTTCCACCTGCCTCAGTATGGAGGATGCACTCCATCCCCCACGTTCCACCTGCCTCAGTATGGTGGATGCACTCCATCCCTCACGTTCAACCTGCCTCAGTATGGAGGATGCACTCTTTCCCTCACGTTCCACCTGCCTCAGTATTGAGGATGCACACCATCCCTCACATTCCACCTGCCTCAGTATGATGGATGTACTTCATCCCTCACATTCCACCTGCCTCAGTATGGTGGATGCACTTCATCCCTCACGTTCCACCTGCCTCAGTATGGTGGATGCACTTCATCCCTCACGTTCCACCTGCCTCAGTATGGTGGATGCACACCATCCCTCACATTCCACCTGCCTGAGTATGGAGGATGCACTCTATCCCTCACATTCCACCTGCCTCAGTATGATGGATGCACTCCATCCCTCACATTCCACCTGCCTCAGTGTGATGGATGCACTCCATCCCTCACATTCCACCTGCCTCAGTATGGAGGATGCACTCCATCCCTCACATTCCAACTGCCTCAGTATGGAGGATGCACTCCATCCCTCACGTTCCACCTGCCTCAGTATGGTGGATGCACTCTATCCATCACATTCCACCTGCCTGAGTATGGAGGATGGACGCCATCCCTCACCTTCCACCTGCCTCAGTATTGTGGATGCACTCCATCCCATTACACCTGCCTCAGTATGGAGAATGCACGCCATCCCTCATGTTCCACCTGCCTCAGTATGGTGAATGAACTCCATCCCTCACGTTCCCCCTTTAGTATGGTGGATGCACTCTATCCATCACATTCCACCTGCCTGAGTATGGAGGATGCACTCCATCCCTCACGTTCCACCTGCCTCAGTATGGAGGATGCACTCCATCCCTCACGTTCCACCTGCCTCAGTATGGAGGATGCACTCCATCCCTCACATTCCAACTGCCTCAGTATGTTGGATGCACTCCATCCCTCACGTTACACCTGCCTCAGTATGGAGGATGCACTCCATCCCTCACGTTACACCTGCCTCAGTATGGAGGATGCACTCCATCCCTCACGTTCCACCTGCCTCAGTATGGAGGATGCACTCCATCCCTCACGTTCCACCTGCCTCAGTATGGTGGATGCACTCTATCCATCATATTCCACCTGCCTAAGTATGGAGGATGGACGCCATCCCTCACGTTCCACCTGCCTCAGTATGTTGGATGCACTCCATCCCTCACGTTCCACCTGCCTCAGTATGGAGGATGCACTCCATCCCTCACGTTCCACCTGCCTCAGTATGGAGAATGCACGCCATCCCTCACATTCCACCTGCCTCAGTATGGTGGATGCACTCTATCCATCACATTCCACCTGCCTGAGTATGGAGGATGGACGCCATCCCTCACCTTCCACCTGCCTCAGTATTGTGGATGCACTCCATCCCTCACGTTCCACCTGCCTCAGTATGGAGAATGCACGCCATCCCTCATGTTCCACCACCTGCCTCAGTATGGTGAATGAACTCCATCCCTCACGTTCCCCCTTTAGTATGGTGGATGCACTCTATCCATCACATTCCACCTGCCTGAGTATGGAGGATGCACTCCATCCCTCACGTTCCACCTGCCTCAGTATGGTGGATGCACTCCATCCCCCACGTTCCACCTGCCTCAGTATGGAGGATGCACTCCATCCCTCACGTTCCACCTGCCTCAGTATGGAGGATGCACTCTATCCCTCACATTCCACCTGCCTCAGTGTGATGGATGCACTCCATCCCTCACATTCCACCTGCCTCAGTATGGAGGATGCACTCCATCCCTCACATTCCACCTGCCTCAGTATGGTGGATGCACTCCATCCCTCACGTTCAACCTGCTTCAG